ACAGTGAAGGCTGAAACACTCCCAGGCAGTACTCACTACGGGAATGACTCTAGTTTTGTCAGTATACATCGCTAGCAACTGGACTAAAATCACCAATGCGTTTTATTCCAACCCCTGAAAAGCCTTCTGCTCAACCTAGTAAGAAAAGATCATCCAGTACTGCTCTCATAAACCACTTAGGCTTAATTTCATAAATTTCCTGATGGGAGAAATTAGTTTTGTCTATGAATTTACAAATTAATTTGTTAGGAGTCAGCCTGTTGTATTAGAAGAAATGCATACATACACACACACACACACACACACACACACACACACACACACACGCACACTCTCAATAAGACTAGAATGTATGATTAACTACAGACTACAGAGTAACAACCACCCATCAAACAGGATAATTGGGAAAAATAGTTGAACACAGTCTGGTTTTGGTTTAGTGTAGTTGAAGATTTGAAGAGATTATTAGAGTTATGTCAATTTTCTACTACATCTTTACATTCACACACATGTCAAAAAGAATCTTATTTATTTACCTTGTAAAACCTCTCTCTCTTGGAATAGAAGAGCATTGCAGCTGCTGGTGTTAGCAGGAGGCTTTAAAACCTTACGATATTTCACCTCTTGGAGAAACAGCAGAAAGCTACAAAGTCACAGAAGGTTTTGTTATTATTAGTATTTGAAAATGGCAATCAGACACTAACTAAAAGGCTTGCTCAAGTTACCACATCATGAGTAAATTCTACAGAATTTGCTGAGGCAGAATTTTCATCAGCCTCCTGAAAGCAAGAGTCTTTGCCATCAGCATTCTTCAGTTCTAATCACTTCATTTAGATAGCACGCATAGTATTCTTTTTTAAAATGAAAATCTGAATGGTATTTCTCTTATTTTAAATGGCTAATGCTCCTCAGGGAACAGGTACTGTTATACACATACACAACCTTTTTACACTAGTTTGTACCCTGAAGTAAAAATGTATGAAATCTGATGCATGACTTGAGCTTATTATCTCTAGAGCAAAAGAGAATTTTTACCATAAAACAAGATAATTGCTAAAACAATTAAAAGAAATTCTTCACATCAGCACAATGAGATTTACAACTGTTTTACTTTCTGATCAAAATTTACTTCATACAATTTGAATTCTAGAGAATGATTAGATTGAGGTCTGATGCACAGAGAAGGTTCAGATCCTGTTTTCTGGGAGAGGTACATCTCTTCATTATATCTACCCAGCCATTCCAACACTCTCCATCGTTTTTACAAAACAGGATTTGTTTCCTCTATCTGCAAAATTCTACAGAGGCAGAAGAGATTTCACCTCAATGTCATTTCTAAGTACACAGTAAGGCTGTAACTTTAGAAAGTTCCTGAAGTGTCTTAAGCCCCATTGTACAATGTTTTACAGCAATACTTACAGATGATTGATGTGCTTAAAACGTGGTCTGTGCCTGAGAAGCCTCTTGTAACTCCTGAGACCTTTTTAAACTGCCTGCAGTCACTGGCATGTTTTTTATGAAGTGAAAGAACATCCATTCCTTAACTTAAATAAACAGAAATATTTATGGTGATAGTGCCAATTTTATCATTATATAAGCTGCAAATAATGCACCAAGTCTGTTCTCAATATCTAAAGGGGGAACAGCTTCAGATCGAAAATTCTCTGGCTCAAAGCAAAATTCCCAAGGGCTTCCTCGAACAAGTCACGGTGGGTGACAGAACATCAGGTACTCCAGGGATCTGCTTTTATTTCTTTGCTCCATGAAACATCTATCATTCTAGAAAGAATGAGGCCTTCTGCTAGCTGCAGGCAAGTCCAGTTATTGTTTAGGAATCCCGGCGGCTTTTCTGACAGGCCACAGAAAAAGAAAACACATTTCTGAAGCCCGGAGAACTGCAGGGTGTTTCTTTGGCAGAAATTCAGGCATAGACATATGGATGACACTAAAACAGAGTGGGCTGCAAACACAAATAAGGATACTGTTGTACAGCCACGAGACCTATCTTCATAGGAGAGATCTCTCAGACATCATTTCTTTTGTCACTGTGCAGATCTGGGACCTTCACATTGAAATCGTTCTGAAATTCGTTTGTCTTTGCAGATTTCTGCTATAACTGCCAAGATAGCCAACTGCTCTTCCTTTAGATTTTTCTTACAAAGAACAAGTTTCTTCATATTTTTGTGAAGAAATTTCCCTCTCTTCCAGACAATCCCTGCAGAAATCAGAGAAATCAGGAAAAAATTCCATAAGGAGGATACTTAAAAGTATTACTCCTGCTCATTGTACAGTTTATCAAAATGAAATAGCATCCCATGAGAACTCTATGGCAAACATTTCCATACCTGTGTACTCAAGTCAAAGTATACCTGTAATTGTTTATATAACTACGTCTAGCTCTGAGCATTTAAAGATAGTAAACAGAATCTAAATGTAGCTGGGCACTTTCTTGTATGTCTACGAAATCTCTGCTTTAATTATTTTCTGTTGGGATGGAATTATTTTCCACTGGGAAGAACTGGATACGGACTGTCAAATTTTTGCATAATGCCATTTGACCCTTAAAGAGTTTTGCTTACACAGAGTTTCAAGAAAAGGTAACTTGTTTGAGAAAAAAATGAAGAATTTTGATTTTTTTTAAGTGAAAGTTTAACGTTATTTGAATTTCAATGAAATAAAATGAGAAAGTTTTCGGATCTCAAGGGTTTTTAATTTTCTCGTGCACAGTTCAACAGCCTCCAGAAGCTGTGCTTTGGTTCAAAAGAGCACCTGCTTTTTAAAATCTCCCTGTTTCCTGCGACTATTGCTACTCTGGCAAGTTTCTGTGGTATTTTTCAAATCCTAATGCAGGAATAAGTGATCTTCCACATTCTAAGTGCCAGTGTCTTATTTCCACATAGACAATAGGTATCATTAGAAACCGGTTCAGTAAAGAGAGAATTTCAAAATATTTAACTTCCAAAGCCAGCGTACTGGCCCCAAGGATTGGCCAGTTTCCACAAATCTCCAAAATCGCAAAGTCAGTCTCCTTAAAACAAGCTAAAACATGAAATTCTTACTAACTCTGCCTGTAATCAAGTGTGAAATACCATGAACAACTGCCTCTTTCATGACATTTCAAGAATTCTGATTTTAGTTTTGTTTAGAAGCAAGAAGTGCTTCATGCAGCGTCAAACCTGACAATGCATGAACATGAACAATGTTCCAAAAGCCATGTCAGCATTTAGAAATGATTAGCAAAACTCCACTGCAGGTTTATTTTGAATTCTGTTCAGATTTCTCTTAGTCATTTGACTAATTTCAGTGTAAGTATAGGAATATGTTTCCTAACTTTCTGATTACTTTTGGAAAGCAGTTATCAGTCACATGAAATTTCACCTCTTCTGTCTTAGAGATCACTGGCTTGAAAATGAGCATATTGTTCTAAACCTCTTTATTTTCAAGGACAAATGGGATTTTTAAGAACAACAGAAATATGTCTACCATTAAGGAGTGAAAATAAACCAAAGAAAGTTTCCTCCTCTTTTAACATATAATAAATGCACAACAATCAGGTATTTGAAGAACAGTAATACTATTAAAACACTGCATGGCAGAAAACAAAAGAAGCCTGTACACTACATTGCAAATATGGCATTTGTCTGAAGGTAAGTGAGAAAATCAATAGGTTTCCAGAAAACAGGCAAAGAAAATTACCGTGTTCCTGAGACTGCATATAAAACTGTAAAGAAGACTAAAAAATAAAGTGGAAAATATCCAAATAATTGCTCAAAATTTATGTCAAACACCAATCAGATTGAAATATGGCAAAAAATGGAGAATTAATTACATAAATAGAGGCAACATATATAATAATAAGAGAGGAGATTTTCCTCTATTTTTTGTCTTTGATTTGTCAAAGATCTCTTTCTAGCAGGTAATTTCCTCATCAAACATTGAAAGAAGAACAGCAAAATTGGAATAAAAGCTGGAAATGATGGCAAGCATTCCCAGTAGATTACCAAAGATCTGCAAACCTGTAGAAAAATCATTGAACAATAAATTAAAAAAACAGCCATCTTATTTGGAAGCCTTTATCTAAGATGGCTTTATAAATCAAACTCATTAAAATAACTTCTTATTCTCCTTACTCTTTTATTAGTTAATTGCGTTATTTCATTTTTATCTTGAAAAGTGAACCAGGAATTGCATTATGAACTTAACACGGAATCCTGTTTTACAGTTACATTCATTGCCTCTTTATATGCAAGATTAATTTGTTACATGAAATGTAATGGCATGAAAGTTGAGGAAGAAATTATTAAGAACTGAATGACAGGAACAAATACAATAAAGCTATTAAAAATCCAATATAGGAAAACAAAAATAATAGAAAAATCTAGCTACCTTTAGCATGAATAGAAGTAAAACGAACACAAAATAAAATATAACTAGGTTTTTGTATATATAGCTATATATACATAATACCATTTATGTTACTGATTCCTAGAATCAACTGTTTCTTTGCTCAATTTATAGGAGTGGTTCTGATAATAAGCATTGTGGCTGGAACGGCACTGTGAAAGACACGTATCTTCTACCATTGAAAATCAGACTAGACAAGATACACAAAAAATACCTTTTAAGAAGGCATGAAGTACTTGGAAGGATGGAAAAACTTTAGACACAGCCACTCAAACTTGTATGAACCATTGTAGACCTGTTCCAACTGCAGACACTGGAATAGCGACATAAAAGATGTGAGGAGACACTACTGAAGTAGCATTGTTAGACAACTTTTTGGCCTCTCAAGTGGCCAGCAGCCAGAAATTGATGCTGTTTCAGACAACATTAGTATTAACTGTGTTTATCACTAGCTGTCATTCTACAACAATGGGTCAAAAAGCCAGTGGCACAAAGCTCTGAGGAAACTATTCTGGCAAGAAAGAGGAGAACAGCTATATTTCAGCACTAGCACCAACCAGTCATAGAATCTCCACATAACCAAATAGTTTCAAAGACATCTCGATGGACTGATGAAACAAAAATTCTTCTTCCTCCAATCCGATTACACCTTTCAGTTAAGACCACTTAGAAAAAATGCTACTGGAGGTAATCCTAGAAGTTCTTAACTCTTCTGCATAGTGTCCCAACTGCCTTCCAAGTCTGTGACAAACCAGTTTGTTCATGGGAGCACTCACAGGCCAAATAACTCTTCCTAGGATGCAAATGAAGTTGTAAGTATTCTCATGATACTGTGAGAAATGGTACTGAAGCTATCACTTCCTCAGACGTCAGTAAACACAGTCTGCAAAAGACAAATTGCAAGTTGTCTCGTGGACACACTCAGCAAATACAACCAAAAAGTTTACAGAGTGATTTTATATCATTTTCCCCCAATAATGTTTGCTTTATTTGAATATGTATTACCAGCAGAGCCTCAGTTTATGGCAGTTCGTGGTTAAACATCCCATAAAAGCTAACTCACTCTCTTCTATTCTAAATTTGCTACATTCATGCTGACAGTCCAAATTACAGTATTTTAGTATATTACACCTTCACTGTGTATTTTATTTATCTCTGTTGTGTCTTCTATAGAAGTTTTTGGCATCTATTCAAAACCTTTACCTGTGTCCTCCTGCTGTTTGTCCTTCTGGCAAACTGTTCTGTTTCTTTTGTAGTTTCTTTTGCTTTGTACTCAGAGGAATATCTCTTACTTTCATACACTACAAAGTTCATTAGTTTAGAGTGCTTATGCAGTCTCTCAATGACACCAAGTTGTGCCTATAAACCGCTAGACAGCAGTACAAATAGCCTGTGTATTAAATCACCAATTTTGACAACCTGTGAAACACTGCTTGTAAATATGATCTTTACGGCATAAAGCCAGCTTAATTCAGTAGTTAACTTTTAAGTGAAATGTCATAGTAAATACATATGTGGCCTAAGAGGAATTCATAATCCATCTGGTGTGTGCATTGTCCATTTACTGTTTTTCAGAAATCTGTGTCTTTGCTCTTTATGTGTCTTCACAAGTTCTCATAACACGGCATCCATAGAAATTGGTACTTTCCATGGAGGCATCTAAGTTTGCTCCCTGCTGTACTAGCAGCATTGACTTCATTGTTTCTGAATTTCCTTGAAGGAGGACTTTCTCCCTAGCTCTGAAACGCTTCAATGACTATGCCTTCATCTGGCAATACATTCCATCATGCGGCTCTTAAGAGTCAGTACTTTGTCTTCAGCTGAACCCTGTTGGTTTTCCTTCAGAGGGCTTGAGATTATGGCCCAATCTCACCACAAGCATAAAATAACATACTTCCATTCACTTCAACAGTTGCACAGGTATGAACAGTTGGTGAACTTAGTTTCACAACATTTAAATTTATCATTCTTCATATCCCCTTTTTAATGTTTGCAAAGTGATTGTTATCAAGGGTTTTTTTCTTTCCATTTATTCACTTGCCTCTCTGAAAGATCA